TTATTTTGAACTAGTCATGATTATGAGTCTTTTAATGTTCAACTTTAGTAATATTTGTTACATATATAACTACCTGTGATCCCTTTTCAGAATGTTTTAAAACTTTGTACCCTGTTTAGTTTTTCATTGCAAGAGAGCCCCGTTTTCAAAGCGCTCTTGCCGTCATGGTAGAATGGAGATAAACCTACTTTAGCTCTCGGTTCCAGATTAAAATAAGAAGTATCTACTCTGCAGTGGGACTACATCAAATTTCAAAACACAGTAGGTTTATCTCCTAAATGCACAAAAGGCCAAGCATTTGCATTACTTGTTTGACACGTACAATGTACATGTTTAGAAGTTTAACTAGAAATACTAAATGTTGTTCAAGATTAGCCATGTTGTTATACAATTTTCTGTATTATTTATTTACACATAATTGACAAGTTCAGTTATGCTTCGTAATGATCAGTGAATAAAAAACCTTTAAGTTCAAAGTGATTTATTTGTTATATGTTGTCATAAAATGAAAGTATGTGTCGTCAGTCATGACTGAAAAGTCTATCTTGAAAAGAGTAACAATGACACCCTAATAGCGAAAAATGTGTACAGCTGTTTTTCATAGCGGCTTCCTCGTATTGTTCACTGTAACAGCATGTACACATATTGCTAATGCATATGGGATGTACTCCAGTGTAGCAGTAGCTGGAAGAAGGATGTTCGTTTTGTTTGATTGAATAATTCAAATGGAAGCGACGAAACCTTTTCAATATTCATAAGAAATCGCCACTAAAAGCAGAGTCGACTGTACCATGTGTTTATGAATCACTAATAAATGGTAATGATACCAGGTTTGTTCGCGAAAAGGTGAGCGTACCCTGCACCATCAGTGGCACTCGCCACACAAAAAGTCAAGTCAATAGTTCATTGATATACATCGATATACGAGAAGTTTAAATAAAACTTTTTGGCCAACTGTTTTGATTTTGCCAATCCGACTCCGTTAACATGAACAGATCAGCAAGTGGGTTGGAAGAGCGGGCAATATTGGTGCTCTCGGACATGCCTACCTATTGCCGATACATGCATTTCACTTAAATGTTATCTATAAAAGGTTTCTGCCTTTCAAATATTGTTTTCTCAGTAAACTTCATGACATTTGTTCTTTTTTTTACATTTTATCCTGAGCCTTTAAAAATTGGATCAGGGTTGAAGTTTTCCCTTGAGTTTCCCGTGTGCGTAGCGTGTACTAAGATGAGAACTCAAATGTTCAGAACAAAAAATGTAAGCAAATCCTTTCAGAGTTTTAGAATCCACATGTAGGCTAATAGTATTAATTCCACTTGTCCCAAATGAGTTCCGTGAATATCCCTATGATAGTTGGAAACCCAGATTCCTCCTGTTAATGCTTCTTGGTTTGATCAGGGTTACAACATTCGTGGCCTCGTTAAAGCTTTCAAAGAGCTTTATGCTAGACATGTTGAGGTCATTTCCAAATTTGAGGTAGAAATGATGTACTTGCACCTATGTTCCCTTGTTGTTCCAGAAGTGCGATTGACTTGCCTTTGCATGTGCTTGTGACAGGCCGTCGGCTAGCGACGCCGCATTCCTCCTACATGTTCTTCAGCCATTCATTCCATTGTTTCTTGATCTGGTTCCGTAGAAATGTCATTTATGACGAGGAAAAAATGTGAGTTTTACACTGTGAATGGTTGGATTAAAGGATGAATTTTCACCATACGAACCACATATATCTCGGCCTTCTATACACGTAATGTATAGAAAGAGAAGCAAATGAAAGGTCAACTAATTTAGAGCTATTTAAATTTAGCTTTGTTTCCTTTTGCGTCCTCTCAGTTAATCGTACACAACATAGACACAGGTACAATACATACCATGCACATTTTACAGAAGATCTACAGTGTATAAATCTCACTTATAATTAACCTAATTTTTACATATTTGTTGATTTCCTTATCTTGGCATGGAACATACTATTATATTTCTTGATGAAGAAAGTAAATTGAAACTCATTCGCAAACAGCGCGTGTGATGTACGTATATATGCCCCTGTATAGCGCGAGGTACGAGTAGCCTCTAACTGTCATTGCAGAAGGGATGTGACATAATTCGCGAAAAATTATCTGACTGATCGTTTCCCGAATCAGGTGAAAAAGGAAGGAAAAAAGCACAAAATTTTACGTAGTTGTTAGAGTGAGTGAGTATTGTTTTACCTCGTTTTTAGCAATATTCCAGCAATATCACAGCGGGGGACAACAGAAAGGAGCTTCACATGATGAGCGAACGCTTTCACAACTAAGTTTCCCAGCCTCCCCATGATCATTAGAAATTTCTATTGAACGATTCCGACTGTTTCGTCAGCATGGTGTGTGTAAATAACGGTCAAACAGTGTTCGGCCAGTGAAGATCCTGGGTAGAATAGGTCTTCAGCAACCCATGCTTGCTATAAAAGGCGACTATGCTTGTCGTAAGAGGCGACTGAAGGGATCGGGTGGTCAGGCTTGCTGGGTTGGTTGAAGCATGTCATCCATCGGATTGTCTGGGCCAGACCGCCGTCACTTAGCTGAAATATTGCTGAGTGCGGCGTTAAACAACAAACAAACAAACAATACTAAAGCCCGGATCGACAGTAAAAGATGCTAGTAGTCAGAAACATTCGAGTGTAGACTTTGATATCGTTGCGATAACCCGTGTAGTACATGCCTATTGAACGATTCCGACTGTTTCGTCAGCATGGTGTGTGTAAATAACGGTCAAACAGTGTTCGGCCAGTGAAGATCCTGGGTAGAATAGGTCTTCAGCAACCCATGCTTGCTATAAAAGGCGACTATGCTTGTCGTAAGAGGCGACTGAAGGGATCGGGTGGTCAGGCTTGCTGGGTTGGTTGAAGCATGTCATCCATCGGATTGTCTGGGCCAGACTCGATTATTTACAGACCCCCGTCATATAGCTGGATTATTGCTGAGTGCAGCGTAAAACAACAAGCCAACCAATCAACCAAACTGTGTTCGCATAAAGTTCAGAGTATCCTACCCCACCAATGGCACCCATGGCAAACACACGTAACTGTCAAGCGACTTATACTCTCTGTTGACAGGGAATATAGGTATAATCCTTTCTGTGCATTTACCTGAATATTAACTGAATATTGGAATTGTTTTGTGTAGACATCCATGTTTCTTGTACTGCTAGTGCTGATTTCGACACAGTGCTTCCATGCACTACAAGATGAACACTTACATCACTCGTTTGCACATGTAAATGTTTTGAAGTTTTACTACAAACATCGCACATATTGATCATGATTAGCCACTTGATTATAATATTATTATGTATTAACTATCTGCACACACTTATTCCGTATGCGTCATTATGCTTAGTTAATAAAAAGTTCAGATGAAAAAACGTGTAAAGATGATTTTTTAAGCCGCTTCCTCGTATACATGTCCATTGTAATAGTGTGTACATAGTTTGTAAATGCGCTCAAGATAAAAGGATTTGATTTTGTATTCCGGGCTCAGCAGGTTTGCTCAATGTGAATAAGGAAGATGGTGTTACTGAATTGACCTGCCTTATTATCAAGTTCACTTTAGCGGCTTTCCATGCGTTCGAGTGAGTGATTATTCTTTTACGGCGCATCCCACAATCGTGCAGCTTGACCACACCTGCCTGAAAATATACCCGCCTGGCCAGTTGACAGCGTGATTAAGAATGTGTTTAATGTGGCATACTCGAAACCATACCATAGAAAATGTAATGCTGGACATTTTCATGTTGACACACTTGTCAACTATGGGAGCAGGACGTGAAGGCAAGGAGTTCTGATATCAAAAACAGGAAGCACAGTGTGTGGAGTCTATACACAACAGCTGAGGCATGTACTACACGGGTTATCGCAACGATATCAAAGTCTACACTCGAATGTTTCTGACTACTAGCATCTTTTACTGTCGATCCGGGCTTTGGTATTGTTTGTTTGTTTGTCGTTTAACGCCGCACTCAGCAATATTTCAGCTAAATGACGGCGGTCTGTAAATAATCGAGTCTGGACCAGACAATCCAGTGATTGACATCACGAGCATCGATCTACACAATGGGATACGATGACAACCAACAAAGTCAGTGCGCCTGACCACCCGATATATTTCGTCGCCTCTTACGACAAGCATGGGTTGCAGGGGGCCGATATCCGAAATCCCTACGGGTGAAAGTCTGCAAATGACTGCAGCGTAGCAAATGAGTGACCCACGTGGGGATCTTTCACACTGAACTCCAACCATGGAGTTTTTGTGGGGGCGAATCCGCGACATATTTGACCGTAAGTCAGATTGTAGCATAGGTATTTCACAATCTTCACATCATAAGGGTGAAAACACACACAAGATTCCGTACTGGCCGACATCGAAGTTATTCACATGTATATGTAAATCGGTGAAATGGTCAGTTAACAATTAAACATTCGCTCTTAGTGGTCAGACCACTATTGGCCAACATTCAAATAACCATTGCATCTAAAATGTTTAAAAACAACATAGTTTTGATAATCGTATTTAAATAGACATTTCCTGAGCCATTCGCATGTGCACCGCGCTCAACAGTCTGGAGAATAATTATGTTTTTCAAGAATTTTCGGGGACAATAATGTTTTTCGAACAACTCCCAGGCTCCCTCAGAATATCAAATGTTGTATCTTCAATAAAGACTCATTGTCTATCTAGAGCTATCAGTTTTTTATTCAGCTCGGCATTGAGGTTTAATCAATGTCAATTCTAGTTTTCAATCTGTTTCAGTGAACACATGGTAATAGATTTCTACTACCCACTATGGAGTATTGTTAAATGTGCTGGTTATCAGCTAAGCCACATATCATTACATTATGTTTTATAAATGTCCAATCCAGTGACAAAGCTACATCATATTTCAAATACACATATGTTTGTTTGACACACAGAAATACATGAGGAAAAGAGTCGGTTGATTTACTTCCTCTTTAATCCAACATGGCGGCCTCCTGTGGGTTGTGTTTTGCAGTACTGGGATTAGCTTGCTGTATATGTCTTGCACTGAGTGAGTATGTTTAACAACGTAACTAGCAGACTAGCTGCTCAATACCACATGCTTCTCCGGCTTATGGCGATGGGGTGGTTGTGTACCATTGTACCCGACAGTGTGGATGCTGTGTAAGAGCCCACAGTATCGACTAGTATAGAGTATAGCCAAACCAGAAACAGACTCCACTGAGTCAGACAAAGGCCGCAAATTTCTTGAATTCGAAATTTGCAAACAAGGGAATTGATCCTTTAAATTTAAGTAACATGCTCAGACAAAGATCAGTTTCCGAAAATGTCCCCCAATACAGTCAGGTCCCGTTAATCCGACATGGTTGGTTGCATGTGATTATGTCGGATTAACGAGTATGTCGGATAAACTAAATTAAGTAGTATCAACTTTCGTGATCGAAAGTCGGACAATTACACGATAGATAACGTTACAAACACGTAATAAAAAATGAAAAATGAAATATTCATATTGTTATGTTACATTGTAAGCGGAATATGTTTTCTAATCATTCAACCTCTAAAGCTTAACACAAAACAACTGTTAAGGAATGTATGACTTATTCAAAATAATTTAAGAAGCATAGTCTGGAATGGAAGTCGCCAGTTTGAAACTGGAACGCAAAGCTTAAGAAAGCTGCTTTCTTAGTGGCTAACGTTGACTTCCTGTTAGTCATTTCATTGGTCGGTCATAGTTCGGGAATGGATGTTCTGACGTAACCTGTAACGGGATTTAAAATTTCAGGAACCACCAACAATTTCATTTTCCTTTACGAACACAATTTCATCCAGGTTGTTCAATTATAGGAAATTGGACTTGGCGGCTCATGATGTAAATTCCACTGATTGTGGCTGCCAAGACTCATCATCCTGCTATCAACCTGCAGGTCATATACTCACAGGGGACTTCTCTATAGCTGACAATAACAACCTGTCGAAGAATATGCCAAAAAATGGGCCAAAAGAGAAGAGGAACCTGTTAAATGTCTTTCAGAGTGGATTAAGTCAATGCGTGATGTTGGCATTGGTAGAATGCATAAACTTAAAAAGAGGAAACGGAGTTTGAATAAACCCATTATGGCCCAGCCAGCTATTATCCAAAGTCTGGCTGTCCTACAGTAAAAGTTTGTAGTTTCCCACCGACAAGGCCTCAAATAACATAACCATTTTATGTAAGAATCACTACATTACTTGCTTGATCAAAGAACTTGGTATAAATGACATATCAAATAAGGCCACATATAAGGTCAGTATGTTAACTGAGGAAGAAATCTGCTATAACCATAAATTAGTACTGTCAGCTTCAGACTTGACTCTAAAACCTGAAGACATCTCCATTCCTCTTTTGTACTGGACCCCAAAGCTCCATAAAGAGATATATGGCTGGGTCCAGGATTCCCTGTCTCAAAGAGTAACCATAATCCTTAAAATGATCGAGGGAGGACTTTCACAGAACGTATTTGAGACACGTGGAATTAATACAAAGCAGATTCACAAAAACTCAAAGTATTTGCTTGACTTTTTCCAATCTTAGAAAAGAACCAAGTTCCATTCTGTCAAAACATTATATTTTTCAACTTTGTACACCACTATCCCACATGACAAACTAAAGGAAAAACTTCATTCTTTGATCCCCAGACTTTTGTTACAAAACGCGGTGTACACAGATACAGTAACGTACCAATATTCAGAGGTTCGGGACAAATTTTGAGAAATGAAAGCAAATGCCATCTGAAGTTTACTGAGAAAACAATATGTGAAATGCTGGACTTCCTCACTGATAACATCTACGTAAATGTAGGGGTAAGACATTAAGGCAAGGAGTAGGCATCCCCATTGGCACTTATTTTGCTCCCCTTCTTACGGATCTGTTTCTTTATGCTTATGCCTTGGAATTTCTTCTCGGATTGGCAAAGTCAAAACAAGATAATTTGGCCAAGAAGTGTAACTTGAGCTTCAGGTATAGCGATGATCTGATATCGTTCGATTACAATCAAATAACCAATCTGAGAATCGAGCATGCTCTTTCTTCCAAGATTTCAACTCTTGCTCAGAAGTTGTTTGATCACGGTTATAAAAATCAAGGCCTCAGTAAAGTTTTATAACGTTTTATGGTAGACATGAGGAGGACATTTCAAAATTTGACGTATCATTGACAAAAGTTATGTCCAATGCAATCCCTATTTTGACCATATGTTCCCGTGTTTTTTCAGGTGAACAATTGACTTGTCTTTGCATGTGTTTGTGACGGGTGACACCTCTTCGCTAACGCCTGGTACTATCACTATTTGATAGTGATTCATAAACACATGCCCATTACATACATAGTCGGAATCGTACAATCGAATCTGCTTATTGCAGAGATTTCTTTTGGATATGGAAAGGGTTTTTGGCGCTTTATCTACAGTTGTGTGAAGTTATCAATCACTATTGTGTTTATTGTAGATTACTTAGTTAACCAACCTTCTACTGAACAGGTCGAATTGTCAAAGTATTACAAATTGACATCAAATCTAGTATGCATAAGGCCGATGTCAAGAAATGTTTTGATAACTTACCTCGCTGAGAAAGCAATATTGTCTGATGATGCTTTGGCTTTGAAGAAAACACTAATATTTTTGCTTGAAAGAAATTCGTATTTGAATGAAAAATTCGACATAAAGAGAAGCGAGGTTTCCAGAGGCTATTGCTTTAACAAAATTATGACTCAAGTTACAAAGGTTTTGGTAAAGTTCTTCATTATGGTGGATTTGCCTTGGACTGAGATTTTGTGTTTGATATATTTTCAGCTACAGCTACAAAAACAGATTTTATTTTATCTAAAACTTTGAGCCTGAGTTTCAAAGAAAAACACCTTGCGACAATGTTTTTTGTGACAGACAATTTCTTTTTCCTCCACAGTTTGAAGCATAATAACTTTTTTAGGGATAAAATCCAAGAGCGTTCCCAGAGCATCAAATTGTAGGACCTTAGTGAAATTAACGATGATGTGCTTCAAAGGAAATAAACACTTTTTATACAAACAACCGTGAAATGATGTTGATAAACCGAGGATCGTCTTAGTACCTAATCTGGAATTCATAGCTAATTACAATAATTACAGCAAAGACACGAATTCAGGGATGAGTAATCTAAAGTTATTAATAATGAAAGCGACAAAACCCTTTCCATGTTCAATAGAAATTTAAGATAGGCTAAAGAATAACAAGCTATTGAATGTTATGAACATTCAGTTGTAACAATACCCGTATTACTAGATTATTTATGAAATTGGTGTGTTACGTTTATTTGGGTGGGAACCTTACAAATTCAATTTGTTCCAGGCACCTGCCCTCCGGGACAGTTCGGAGACTCCTGTAGCTATTCCTGTCACTGTGAAGGAGGGGCCGTGTGTAACTCCACCACAGGAGAATGTCCTGGGGCCTGTGCACTACAGTGGAGGGATGGGAGGAACGGCACTTGTCAAAGAGGTTTACATCATTGATAATTAATTCAACGAAACCTCCATAATAACATGTATAAAAGAAAAAAGACAAGTTGAATTGAGTTGCACATGAAATGTGCAGTCACACCCGCAACTCTGAATACATCCCCTATCTTTTCTGCAGAGAACGTGGCAAACGGAAAAAGAGCATTCAGTACATCTGGAACACTGCTGTTCAGATCCTACAACAACTGGACTCCAGACAAGGCTGTGGACGGGAACAGGATCCAGGACATTTTCGCAAACTCCTGCTTCCACTCTGCCAACTACTCGAGTATGTGGAGGGTGGATCTGGGACGGCAGTACAGGATACGTCATGTTACAGTCTACCACAGGAATAGCAGTACGTGACATATGTATGCTAGACTTTTCACTGGGTATGAATGTTTGAATGTCTCGAAAATCCAGCATTGTTCAGGTTTGTTTAACACAACCAGTTCTATGCAGCTTGTGGAAACCCCATAATAGGATGCATTGTTTCATTCCCAGATCTACCCAGGATCGCTAACTGCACCGTTCACCTGAGTAATGACAACTCTGACGGAACACTGTGCTACACCTTCCCCGCCACTGTCAACAACTCAGTGATCGACCTGGTGTGTGACGGCAGGGGCAGATACCTCACCATCAGGAACCCGGGGAGAGCGGCTAACCAAGATGACACGCTCAACATCTGTGAAGTGGAAATATACGGTATCAGGATTTAATAATTACTTTGACAAATCATCCAACACTTTCTCTTGTTCAGTTATTATTTCGTTTTAATTTAATATAAAACGTTTTGTGATTACTATGCTATTCGGATTTTCTACTAACTCCCGTCTTCTAACAACACAATCCATGGGACAACGTCGGGTATGTATTGTGATGATGATTTTCAGTGATCCATCATTTTGCCTCTTACTCCCAGTGGAATCTGTTTCGGCAGATAATCGAGACTGATTATTCTCTGGGGTTGACCTTTTGTATTATGAAACAGAAACAATCCCTATATCACTTCTGTTTTAAAGAAATAATGTCGACAGTTTCGAAATTAAGTTGTTCATTTCCAGGATTTTGTATTATTTAGAGTGCAGTCGTGGGACATACGGCAAATACTGTGACCAGTTCTGCCACTGTTACAACAGCTCTTGTGAACCAGACACCGGCATTTGTCCTGGAGACTGTAGACCAGGGTGGCAGGGAGACAGGTGTGATACAGGTGAGGTCTTACTGTCAGGTGTAGTGTTGTCCAGTCAGTGGTGTGTGTCCTGGAGACTGTAGACCAGGGTGGCAGGGAGACAGGTGTGACACAGGTGAGGAGGTCTTACTGTCAGGTGTAGTGTGACCCAGTCAGTGGTGTGTGTCCTGGAGACAGTAGACCAGGATGGCAGGGAGACAGGTGTGACACAGGTGAGGAGGTCTTACTGTCAGGTGAAGTGTGTCCCAGTCAGTGGTGTGTGTCCTGGAGACTGTAGACCAGGGTGGCAGGGAGACAGGTGTGATACAGGTGAGGAGGTTTTACTGTCAGGTGTAGTGGGACGCTGTCAGTGGTGTGTGTCCTGGAGACTGTAGACCAGGGTGGCAGGGAGACAGGTGTGATACAGGTGAGGAGGTTTTACTGTCAGGTGTAGTGGGACGCAGTCAGTGGTGTGTGTTTTACTGAAAACAGAGTGGCCAACTTGTTAAGAGCGGCAACCGTTCATTTTACGTTCATATGAATATACTCAGCTGCAGGTACTGCCATTCAACCTCTTATAGTTGTAAATACGCATAACAACCTATGTTGAATGATTATAGATTGCACGCATGAAGAAACATTCACGAAAGAAAGAACATGCTGATACTTGGTATCAAACAACGCACAAACAATGATGTCACGTTTATTGTCATGGTGATTATTTTTTACACATTCGCCACATTCTTTATAGTTGGTGCTGTTAGTTTGAAAGTAAAACATGAAATAGATCTTCTGGATAGGATCATGATTATAGCCTTGGTGTCAATAGTATTGTCATCATCGTAATTATATTGGTAATTATAGAACAAGTTCCTTCAGCACCAACTTGTCCTCAGCTACCTTTGTCTTTGAGTCATATCGAACTAATACTAGTACCTTGACCTTTCAGATTTCACATGACATCCACATTAATGTCAATATCTGATAATGGTTTTGATTGCGTTGACTGAAGTTTACTTGTAGAATGTAACAAAGGAGCATATGGAGAGAAGTGCAATAATACATGTCAAAACTACAACTGTCTCGAAAATTCCCCGTGTCATCACGTGACCGGCAAGTGTGAGGGCGGATGTAAGTCCGGGTGGATGGGTGAAGACTGCAGCAGAGGTAACACCACTGCTGTCTTTCGTCACGTCATGTATACTCAGATAATACTATACGAGCATGTGTATCATACTGATTTTACGAAAAGATTGTCAGAATTCACGAGAACGAGGGTAATACATAAATTCTTACACGATTGAGAGTATAAAGATTTCTTTATTGCCATTATTTCTTAATCCTTTGAGCTTCGCTTTAGAAAGATGCAATGATCAGTATCGCCGTCTATGGCGTCAACAACCTTCAGCTATGACGTCGTTTATAGTTTGACGTCATTCCGACCTCACGTCACAAAAAAGATTCGAATGACCTGTGTGGCTGCTTGTACTGGTCCGGACTAACGCCGATTTGTAGTTCTAGCCCACGTAGATACCATGCCGCAGTTGAACATGAATACTCCACTCAGACACATTATACTGACTCCGAGCCGACTAGTCCTTATTTTAGCCCCTTAATGCCAAGCGACAGGCACGGTAACAACAAGTAACCGTTTTACCGTCGTTTGGTATTACGCGGCCGGGGTTCGAACCCAGACCTTCCGCTCCGCGGGTGGACGTTCGTACACTAGAGATAAAAATATATATATTAATAATGGAACTTTCCACATAAGTGATCACTACCTGTAAATAACCAACCTCGTCTATTCCGTCAGCTGTTTCATTTCATGTTTCGTTTATCGCCGAAATACATCGTTTCATCTTACTAGGCATAAAACATGACCACAAGAGTCTAAAAATAGTCAACAGAAAATGAATCGAATTTTCTCACATTAGTCCAAATAGTAAGATACAAGAACACAATTGGCAATGGATGATAACTGAATCATTTTTGAATGTGAACGACATAGATAGGTAATAATAATGTCAAATTCACAACTACCACTAATGCGTGTCTACATGTCCAACTGATCTACTGAAACATTACACTGACTGCTTTTTGCAAATGGGTGGAGGCGGTAACTGACCCTGAACAATTAAAGTATATTGAATTGTGAATGAATCCTATTATATTGTGTCATTTATGGCGTTTGTCTGTTGTTCATTACCTGGTGCAAGGCGAAGTCACTGATAGTGTAGCAGTAGGTACATGTAGGATACCTTTAATGCCCCAGTAAACATACCATTGAATGATTTGTCATAGTACAAACTACTACAAGTACCATTCCCTGTGATAGAATGCAACAATGGAACGTATGGAGAAACGTGCACCAACATTTGTGGTAACTGTCACGGATATACCGCATGTCATCACGTGACTGGGAAATGTCAGTTCGGATGCGGGGCCGGATGGATGGGGAGCGATTGCAGAGAAGGTAAACTAGAATACCTACGTTTCTTTTCAGTATATTGCGTATATTCAGAACATATTTACAAAACCAGTGTGACTTTTTAAAGTGCAATGCCAACTTAAGCAATAAGCTGTAAATGTCATTATGTTTGGAGTAATGAATCCATCTTCATTTAATATCCGTTTCACTTTGATCTGTCTCACAGAGTGTGGCAGGGATCACTATGGACCAGGTTGCAAGAAGGCATGTTCCGAGCGGAGGTGCAATGGTATCTCGTCATGTAACCGCAACAATGGGTCATGTGATACTGGATGCTTAACAGGCTGGGTAGGAGATGATTGTGGCAGAGGTATGCATGATGCAAAGCTACATTATTAACCTCTAATCAGACACACATGTCATCCATTGGGTCTATTAGAAACATACTTATCTGCCTTCGATTAGCATGTGCTAAGCGGCAGATGTTAAGGCGATAATAACTTCGGCGCGTAAAGGCTCCAGTCGCCAGTTGGAATAGCACAGACAATGGTGTTACTCGGGGTGATATTGCAAGCACTTATATCATTCCTACACGTCATCTTCTAATCTAATCTGTTTCAAAACAATGTCTGTCTATTTACTAATTTACAGAAATACGGCTTTATAATTTCAAATGAAACATGTGTTTCAACCTTGCCAAAAATGTCAATCATATGCTATATCCCCGTCGCGCATATAAACTACTCAATGGAAGTTCAGGATCACCCAAATCTTTCATATTGGTAATGTTAATCTGTCATGGCATGAGAGATTAACTTTTGTAATATGAAAGAATCAGGTGATCCTTAACTTCTTTTGAGTAGTATATGTATTATTGATGGAAATATATTCTAGCGCCTTACAGATTTGGGAAATTTTATTCGTTTATATTTTAAACAGATTTTTTATAGACCATTGCCAACAATATATCCTAGTCAGGATGGTTATGATATTGTTATTTTTGTACAGTAATCCAAACGTTTGTAAGCATATGAGCATGTATATACTAGTATATTAACTCACGTATTCATCGTCTTCTTTCCTTTTCGTACCACCACTATACATACTACTTTATTTACTGAGTAATGATAATAATACAAAACCCCTTGCACAATCATAAGAAATCTCGCCTAAAGGAAAATGAAATTTACAGGTGAATCTTCGTTCGAAACCTTTGAAATTAATTAAGTTTTTCTCGCTAATATCTGGCCTTTGTTATTCAAGAACGGAGTACTGTCACCTTGCCATCGTCGACCACAGCAGCCTCTGCAACTGCTGGGATAGTTCTGCTGTTCCTCATCATCACTGTCTTGCTGGTGTAAGTACAACGTCTCCATTACCCTCAACGATGTCCCGAATATGTGTTGCTGGTGCTGTCGTTCATATCTCCGATTCGTGATTTCAGAAGAAAATGGAGGAAACGATCACCACCAGCGTCGGCTAAACATGTTGGCGAAAGACAACACTGTAAGTCAAGATCGGGAAATCGAGGTAAGCATTGTCCCTTAACTCCAACCATGCCTGTGTGTTGCCCCCGTTGATGACACGAAGCGCGAGGTGGTGCGATATTGGAACTCTCTCACCCACGAGACTCTAACCTCTCTCATAGGAAGTATGCCCAATCGTGTAAACTGTTTATGGAAGCAAATGGTGGTCTGATAAAATATTGATGTTACTGTGATGTGATTAAAGAAGGTTTGTGCTCACTTAAAATATTTTTTGGGGGAAATTTTCATATTTACAATTTAAAGATTTTTCAATTCTCAATAATTATGACTCATACTGTATGAATGTATGAAACAATATTGTTGTTACTAATGATAAAAATAAATGTAGTTTCCATGTACATTATTTAATACGTCCTTGAAATAGTTCGTATTGTTTGACGAGTATTTGTTTCTTGTGATCTCAGATACGAACCAAGTGAGAGACAAAGCAGAAAGGGAAGTAGATGCGGATTGTGGTGACATTAAACCGTCACTGCAACACGACATGATGGCGGTAGAGGAGAACCATGACCCGCCTGTCATTGAACCAGATGCTGATGTTGATCTCCAGGACAGGGTCTACTGTAACGTGGGGGAGGTGGAGGTGGGTAGAGCTGTACCAGTATCGGAGTTTGAGGCCACAGTTCGCCGAATGGTGGAACGACCGGAGAAGGCCGAGGAGGAGTTTCAGGTCTGCTATGACGTCATGAGATGTGATGCTTTAGGACAATTCAGCTGTTTTGAAAAAAAGTTTGAAAAGAGACTGGAGTGTCAGGCACAGATCGATAACTAGGTTCTTTTGTTACTTTTAGAGGCTGCCAGCCGGTTTTATACACCCCCACCAAGAATCTCAGCTGCCGGAAAACAAAGGGAAGAACAGATTTAGAGGCTACTACCCGTGTAAGTTAGTACAGTGGTACGCAGTTCTACTAGCCTGTGTTATGTTATACCAAGATGACGTTGCACCCAAGTAGTTAACACTTTCAAGTGTGAGTAACACGTGCCATGTACAATATGAGCACGATGTCCCATCAGCTGAAATACGTTGTCCGCTTCTGTATGTGTGAGTGACATGACTGCAACATTATCACGAACCGTTTTGAGAGCAGAAGGCCAAACCTTTTGTGCATATCCTCAGACATGGATGTTACAGTGTTGAAATAAAACCCATATCCAATATAACTGCGCAGTTAATCATTTCAGATGGAGTTAACAGATAACGAAACAACAGATATGTATGCCAGGCTTGTTTGGCAATATTCGTTAATATTATGAAAATATTCTATAGGACGAGAAACACCACGGTACACTTCATGACATCTGTTACTATTACGTACGTCTCTGATCTGGTGTTGTGTCTTTGCATAGACGACTACAACCGTGTGGTGCTGCATGACGACAACAGCGGCGGTGGAGGAGACTACATCAACGCCAGCTATGTGGACGTGAGCTTTTAGTGTCATTATATACCCTTCACAAAAAGTAGGGGATACCAGGTAAAAACATAAAAGTGCTAAAATTATAAGAGATACTAGTTTCTGGTAATAGTTGTATGATAATAATGAACAAATTGGTAACACATTACAACCAGTAGTTGAATACGACAGTAGATCTTGAAGGACGTCACGGGTAAGAGGGCTTCCAGACGTTCAATGCCGGAAAGGTCTGGTCTCATTGCTGGCCGTGGCATTCTAAGGATGTTGCAGCTGGAGGTGAGCATTGACGAGTCGTGCACCGTGAGCACGGGCGTTTTCGTCCTGAAGGACAAAACGTCAACCCATACGCCTTGCAAACGGGACACCAAAGGGCGTAGGTATGTTTTCCAGTGACCCTTCCTTGTAAAAGATGAAGTTGTGATCGGTCAGTCATACCGATCCGCCGCCAAAAGTGCCATGAGGTCGTAATTAAGACACAAGCACGCCTATCAAGGAAGTGCAAAGTGAATCGGAACTTATCCGATCAGCGAGGATTACCCCTGTTTCAACGTTGTGTTTGTTTGTTGTTTTACGCCGCACTCAGCAATATTCCATCTATCCCGTTAGTCGCCTCTTAAGACATGCATGGATTGCTGAACACCAATTCGAACCCCTACCGTCACGAGTATACAACGTTTTGTACACCAGTGACGTCTGTTGGGGCGGCACAATACGTGGCCGTCGAGCAAGGACGTGACCCGTAACTCGTACCCCAGTAGCCTGATGAAAGTTTTCCGCTATTTGATTCGTAGTGTGCGCTCAATTTCGTAGAGCCTAGTTTCCGATCAGTCGACCCTTTACCACAAGGGACGACTCGTACGGGGTCGATCTGTGAAACATTGAACATATTGGAGCAATCACTTCTCCCAGTGTCTCTGTAGACTCTTCGCGTTTTGCCGACGCCGCATGGCTCGTTCATACACGAACAATGAATGGAATCAAGATTGACAGAAATAATGGTCCACAGAGAATAATAGACCTTCCTATGACACCCAACGCACGTGTGTGGCGCTCCTGCGTGCGGCACGTGTAAACTATCGTATGTGATTTGGTGTTATGTTTCACAGACATAAACGTTTATGCATACGATTTTTGTCGTTAACGTTTATCTTGTTCTATTACTTGGTATTAACATATAAATCATGATCCCCTATTTATTGTTAAGAGTATATGTTATAAATGTTATACAATTCACGCGCAGTGTGTAAATTGCTTGCTCGGTTGTTTCTGAATAGGTCTATGCAAACATAATCTGGCGTTCGTACTCTCTGACCTACTCTCACCACAGTATTTATTTTGTAGGGATACAACACCGAAAATCGCTACATAGCAGCACAAGGTAGGAATGATGGGTCCATTACTGACCACTATCAATGTCACGACAACAGCTGTAGAGCCGGATACTCACGATTGTTTTGCCATCGGTGCGGCTGGACACGCTCACCTTGCGAACTCCTGGTGTCATCACTAACAGATTGTGCTTCATGAATCACATGTGTATGACATAGTCGGAATCGTATAAAGGAGTCGGCTGTTTAGAAGAGATTTCATATGATTATCGAAATTTAATTATTGTCATATTGTATCGATGAAGCAACAAACTGTGCAAAGTACTGAAAGAGCTAATGTCGTTCACAGGGCCCTACAGACTTGAGATTGTGGATAACTTCTGGGGGATGATCTGGCAGGAAGAATGCCGAATCGTTGTCATGGTGACTGGTCTCAACGAGACAGGCAAGGTGATGGTGCTAGACTGATGATATTGTAGCATGTAACATCTATAACCCAGGCGTGACTATGGACAGATTCGATAAATTATTGAGATGTTACAAAGTAACCAACATGATGTGCGCCGTGTCAATGCTCCTGGGTTCCACCAAAGGGGTAAACATCTAAGACCTGCATTTCCGGTTTTCCAACTCCCACCACGCTTTGATGTTACTGTAATAACTCCCCCACTCACTCACAAACATGATGTGGCAATGCAGACACCATAATCACATTTAAAACTTAACACTGATAGATGATGATGTAATACTTCCACTTTCATCGAAGTACATAAATGCATTTGCACACAGATGAAGTGCCTTCGTTATTGGCCGGAGAAAGGTACAGAGACGTACGGGGACATATCTGTAACCATGGATACACAGACACGTTTTGCAAACTATACGGTCACTAAACTCTCCGCAAAACACAAACAGGTAGTATATAATATACGTTAAATACTGGACTATCACAAATTCATTATTGAAATATTGAAACCATATAGAAATTCCTTATACTTACACATAAAACACACAATTCCACTCTGTATTAAGGCTGCCAAGAAGCTGTGTCTCGTGCACCTCCACTTCACCAGCTGGCCGGATCATGGCGTCCCAGACACTTCCGCTCTACTGGAGTTTATCAAGAAGGTGAAGGTCACATCCGGGGAACAGACACAGCCAATCATTGTCCACTGCAGGTGAGCATAGTGTATATGATTGCTTTATGGACGTCTGTTGGTATGGTCTTGTGTTCAAGTGTTTCTGCCAGCTGATAATAGTTCGTTATATCAAATTTCCAAAACCGTTCCAACATCTTTCTATTTTTAAAACAATTCCAGTGCCGGTATAGGCCGTACTGGGACATACATCGCTATCGAGGGTCTCATGGAGCAGGCCAAGACAGAGGGCGTGGTTGACGTTGTCAGCGTCGTCTCTAACATGAGGGGACAGAGGAAGAACATGATCCAGACAAAGGTAGGTGGATCTGAGTGAGGGAGTGAGTGAGTTTTCATGGCAGCCGTGAAAATAATCGAGTCTGGGCCCATATCGTCCATCAGCTGCTGCAATCAACGAAGTCGACAAGGCTGACAAGTTCTCTTCAAGTCGCGTCTAAAGACAACAAGTATAGCGTTGTGACCAAATGTCATGGAGATCATTCGATTAAAACAAGATTGACGAAAACATTCGTTGCTGCTTCTTCTTGTGTAAATATACATAACCTCAACGCCAGCGAATTGTCCCGCTAAACAGATTTCATTTCGGCGTGAAAGGCAAAGTAGCAAAACTATATGAATGGATCACTGAAAGTCAGTCATGACACTAGGTGTTCACAAAATGGGTTGTGTCCTGCCCTACTAATAGCACCCGCCATTCACACAATTTGCCTACAAATTAAGTTTTTTATTGCCTGACGCCGCACTGCGACGTCCGCCAGTAAACAAATCAGACATTCATTTGGAGGACAAGACAATCCAATGACACGATAGCGTAATAACAGATTTTGTTGAATCTATAAACGACATGTTGCTTCTGAATTACGCCTCTACTTAAGCTTGAATTATCTTGTTTCTCTGTCATACACACAGGAACAGTATCTGTTCGTCTACAAAGCGGTGGCGATGTCGTTGTCGCAGGGGAACACGTCTCTGAATTCCGACTTCATCAAACGGTTGAACCTAGATCACTTGGCCGATGTAACTATGGGAAACAAAACCGTACAAAAGCATCTTGAGGTCCGTACGTTGCACATACGTCTAACGTTAGTTCTTCAAATTGTCTATGTACTGACACTTGTTCCACGTTTCACTCAAATATCAACAAGTCGTGTGAGAGTGACGAGCTTGCAATCCATACTATTGATAATTATCATACTTCATTTGAGGTTTGTATTTATTGCAGGCTTGGCAAAATCGCTCTGCAAGTAAGTAGCACAGAAGAAATTGATGTGATGTTTGTATGTCTTTAAATTGTTGCATTGTTACGTAACCTGGTTAAAACGCTGCATTTTCACAAAGACGTACACAACCACTACTCCACTGTGGTCATCCAATAATATCATTACAACAATAGTATGTGTTTGTCAGTTGTCAGTTGTCATGTGTTTGTTGATCAGAGACTACACTCTGTAAGGTAACTACACAAACGCTACACACGTCGCTGGTAATGTTGCGATACTTGCACTTCATCAAACTCTCATGTTTGCATACTAAACATGACTTGATCTGGATCGACTTAAACAATCATTGTTTTCTATGTGTTTTTAAATAATGTCAATATATTATGTATCTATAGTAAATTATATACATATCTGACAATACTCCTTCAGGCTCTAATATAGCGGAAATAAAGAACTCTCACATGCAAGTAATCATACGCGGTGGCATTTTGCTACAATGTAGTGTTTAGAAGTTCCTTTGTATACCATTCCAGTACCTTATGTTTGTCCTCAGTGTGGATGCATGAAATACAATTTCCTTTTACGGGACTTAGTAGAGTTGGGGACTGTTTTGTGTATTGTATGTGAACCTTGACAGAAAGGGTTCCGTTCAAAGCAGCATGTGGTTCGAGCACTTAGTTTGAGAATATGCATATATATTAAGATTATACATCAAGGTTCACTATCATAGGCCCGATATGGTCAATCCCGACATGTTATGGGAGACACACAATCTAATTTGCTGAATATCACTCGTCCACGTCGATGCTACCCTAAACTGTGACCTTTACAGGGAGTTCTCACATCTCACTACCACCTCACTGGCATCCCGACGACGTGGAGCATTGCTCATGTTACAATCACTGGATTGTCTGGCTGGACCAGACACAATTGTTTACAGTCCGCTGTTGTATAAAAGGGGTATTGCTTGGTGCGGGGTCAGGTGACACACAAAACACTTACTTGGTATGAACATTGTGTGAGTGGCGGGTGCTACATGTAGGGTAGGACATACTCACCCTTTCCCCAACACCATCATCATCAGTGATTTCAGGGATCCAGCCATCTCATTGTCATCCATCACTATTCTGCCTTATGGAATCGGTTTCTGCAGATAATCGAGACTGATTATTCTTTAGCGTTGAGGTTTGAAGATATTGTGCCAGGAATGTACTTGGCGAATATACTTTGAGTGACTTGTAATAATAATATGCATTTTACATTTATATATTATCCAGTGGACAATGGAAGGAACATCATCACCTTACCTGTAAGTAACAACGTTCAGAAATAGGAACTCATAAAGGATTATATAAAACACATAAACAAAGAAAAATATAAAAAGAGCATGAACCATGTCAAAGACTAAGCACGACTCATTGTTTCCACGTTGGGGTTCAGTGGAAGCTCATTACAACTTGCAGCCTGTACAATAATATCTCGTTTTCAGTCTTATACATCGAATACTGGTTTCTACATCATGAGTTCATGTCCCAACAAAGAAGATATTTGGAACGCGGTGTATAACACTGATTCTCGCACACTCATCACGTGGGGTCAAGAGAAGCAGGTTAGTGGGCATATTTCTACAAACAGTTTCTTTGCACACTTATGTATCTTCTTTCTTCATAACATTTTTGAGTCCAATACCAATTTTGTCGATATATTGTTTCCCTAAAACTCCTTTGCTTGAAACATTCCTGTGTTTAAATTTCTAAGCCCAGCTCCCATCACCTGTCAACAGCGTTAAAACACCAAGGTGCACAGCCAGCATGCGCAGTGAGGCCATTTTATCAGATGGTTTATCTGTCACCATTATTGATCTGGGAACAAAGGTAAGTAAACTTATGCATTTTTTAAATACCGAAAACATAAGTAGTGTCAGCATTATTTCTACCTCCTATATGACCGCCACCTTGGTCAAGTGGATACAGCGTCTGTCCGGAGGGCGGATTATCGGTGGTTCGATCCCCGACCGCGTCATTCCAATAATATGTTAAAAGATTGTACTTGTTACCCTGATGCCAGATGCTATGTAAGTGCAATAACCGTAAACGCGAGGGTAAGGCCCATTTCACCTCATCTCTGCATCCTCTGTGATGAACACATTTCAGCTCCAGATATATTGTCTTTTTTAACAATCCGGGATATCCCTCCTCCAAATGAGAACGGGAATTGGAGACTAAAGCCATCTCTAAATCGCAGAGACGAATATAACATTTCAATTACGTCAGGACATGAATACATAAGATCTAGATAACCAGTGAATATCATAATAACACACGGACGCAGGGGTAATATTTACAATTCGCTGTACTTATATTGCTTGAACTATTAGAAGTATCAAATTGTTGGTTAGATAACAAAATTCCTCCCTACGAGGATTCTTGTTGATTCAGCACCATGGTAAACATCCAGGATACTGCCCCCAACAATAGTCAGTTAACAAGCTTACCTTAAACAGTCGCTGAACAAACACCACTCACTCTGTTTTGAACCATGAGTCTTTTCTGGACTCGATTATCTACAGACCCCTGTTATACAGCTGGCATTCTACGGCTTTCACAACATTCACGCGTTCACTCACCGTGTCTAGAAGATGTGGTTAAAAGGTTTCTCAGTGGAACCGCGTCTTTCTCTGGCATACCAATTCTCGCCTTGAAACACAACTTGATTATGTTTTCGTAAACTGACAAAGAAGGTTTCGCGTGTCACTTTCAGAGAGCAGGACTCGGATAGCAAAACTTAAAAACTGTTACGAGTTATGTTTGGGACAGCAAATCGTCAGGGAAATCAAATACCTCTACCAGAGGTAAAACAGATCAATGACCGAATAACGTGATAATATATATTGATGCATTTAGGTTCATATGAATTGTCGTGCAAGGCCCAAGATGAGCTCTTATGTAATTAGAGTTTAGATATTTTTCATGTTTCGTATAGGAAATATTACTTTTAGTACAGTAAATTAACGGATTAAACAAGACTGATTCATGTGTGAAGTTTGGTGACATAATCACTGATCTTCCATGGAACAGGATGATGCCACCACCACCACCACCACGATCCACAACTACCACCTGACTGGAAGTGTACGTGATCCAGGTGTCGCTGAGCTGATAGACAACTTGCTCACATGGACACATGATCCAGAACGAGGCTCCAGTGTGATTGTGTCCAAGTATGTATAGTTTCATTGCCCACACCTTTTCCTTGATGTCATTATACGCCTTCTGATTGTGTTCACTATTGGCTCGAGCTAATGCTATCATTTCTCTGTGATGTCCCCAGGACTGCTACAGAATCCCTGCTCCTGGTGCTGCTTGTGAACATCGCCAGTAGACTGAAGGACGACGGAACTGTTGACGTCATCACTGATATTGGGAGGCTGTATGCTCGTCATGGAGTCGCACCCTTTACAATGGTAGGTGTTAAAGAAGTGCAGCATCAACTTTAGAAAGATTTATTTAACAAAACTACACAGAAATGAGAACTGTGTCACCAACTGATGTTATGTGAAAAGTAATTCTGTAAACGTCACACTTATTGATCTCTCCGCATATAATTCGTGGAATGTGATATATATATATATATATATATATATATATATATATATATATATATATATATATATATATATACCTGATTTGTTAAGACACACCCTTGTGTTGTAATCCAGAATGGAACCAGCTCATATCAATATTGTCTTTTCAGGATGACGTCCGTTTCTGTCTGGAGTTTTCTCGACAGTTCCTGGAGATTCTCGGAACGTACTGACGAATGGACCCGCTGGATATATTCAGTCTATTTCTTTAATTCCTTAATTACCTGATACAGCTTCTAGAATTGAATTTGTTTATTTTGTACAGTACATAGAGTAATCGGGCAGATGTTCCTGTACTTGTTAGTATGACTAGTACCCCACTTCCTGTCTCGTTGTCATGGTTTCCTGTGTACAACCCGTATGAGTTTTAACCGAAGGGTAGGATGATGGTGAGTAGGTTTCATGCAACTATTTTACCAGTTAACATTAATAAGGTCAATGATTTTATACTGGTCCAGAAGGTCAGGAGTATGCGTAAACATACCAAGTTTGACAGGATGCATCTGCAGCCTGAGTGTGAGGAAAAAGGATTTGGAAAATATTTTAATTACCTTTTATGTCCGTTTCAGTTACTTTTGTCAGCTTAAGCTTCACGTCTAACAGACAATTAATGACATGTTCACCGCACGCTGCGCATTACTTAATTCTGTCACCACAATGTGGGGTCGCCTGGTTGACTCAATGACATATGCTAGGATATCATGCATGTTAAGGAATAAGTTTTCGTGTAATGTCCCGTTGACATTCATAGATTGAATGCTCAAGCATTTCTATATGTGAAAGGAGGATTTCAAATACAGGATCAAAAATAATTTGTGTAGATGATTGTGATTAGCGTCTACACACTGAGGGCTCTTCATCTTGTGACAAGTACCGACCAGTATCCCCCTTTATTTAGTACAGTCCTGGCATCCCCCTTTATTTAGTACAGTCCAGGTGTCCCCCTGTCTTATACATCTAAGCCCTGCATTACTTCGCTTTTGGCAGTCAGTGAAATAAGTAAAATATTGTTCGAAGAGGCATTAAACAAAATTCGACCACTGTGAATATAGATGGAGAAAATGTTTCTACATAATAAAGATTGGAAAAATGCCTTCTTTTCCTGACAATATAATTCAGTTCTTCAGGTGGTTGGGAGTATCTTGCCGTGTTGCAGCTTGGTATCTGTATGTATTATTTATCCGCGTCTGATTAAGTAACAGCAGATGCATATGTTTTAATTCAAAGGTTGTATATTTATCGTATATGTTGTCTTGCAAGTGTATTAACTGCCCGAGACCAAAACAGCTCGTCTTGAACTGTTGGGCAACCAGGTATTTCCAAACCTGATTTATAACGTGCTTGATTTAGTAACAGCATATGTATATGATTAACATATCACGAATGCATATGTATCTTTAAGACTGCAATACAAGATAACTTTTATTCATCAAGCCTAAATGTAGGCTACATGTTTATTTGTCGCCGACTCATTTGAATATATTGCATGAACGAGAGTGTATATTGCATATTCGCCATTTCAATCTTGCACATTAATGCCCTACTGTTTAGCAGGAATACAGAGCAGGTACTGTTACCGATATCAGATAATCTACTAACGTATACTTTACTTTTCTCATGACATACTTGTAGTCTCAAGACAGGCTTTGGAAAATTTGAATTAACAACGTTTTGAACCTCTAATTTGGAAACTCAATAGGTGTATATCATGAATCACTCCACTATGATTATTCCATATTTCATGACATGTATTCACACAAAGCTGTCAGAAGAGATGTGCTATCTCTTCTGTATTTCTCAACACTGATCCACCATACTCATGCTGATACAAAGTGCCTGACCTGTCCCTTCCACCTCTTGAATGATGTCCTCTGATTTGAAGGCTCTCTTATCAATAAGCCTTATCAGGAAGCCCTGCAGAGTAATGCAGTTCACTACGACCTAAAATTATATTCATTCACCCACTCTGTATACTACCAATGCATGAATATTTTACTCTACCTTGGATACCACAAGGTTCATGTAAGGGGACAACTCACAACATTTACAATGACATGTCTGATTTGAAGGAGGAAATCACTCTAACAAAGTTATCGCCACGCCTGAGGAAAAGAGACTAAATATTGAATTAATGCTGTCAGTTTTATATTGGTGTATTTTAATTTGTGTATCCATAATGCCTCTCATATCCATACATCAGTAAATGAATTAATATGTGTTCAATGTTTCATTTATTACACGTATTTCACATGTCTCTCCAGCACCTGTCGCGGAGTTCACGTTAATGTAGTTTAGGAGAAAGGGCAAACAAAACACACTTCCCCCTGTGTAATGCTGCACCACCCGTACTAAACCACCACCGAACCATGTTCCAGACACTATATCATGAGTATGTGTCTGTCTGAAGGTAATAACATAATAGGCAAAGATAAACTGAGTCAACGCATCGACTGGATCGTGGGTCAATGGGAAACTGCATTGTCACGTGTTTGGTGTGGTGCATTGACGTCGTTAACGTACAAAGGACACAGACTTGTGTATATACTCCAGTATACTCCAGTATACTCCAGTATACTAAAGGAAAGTAAAAGAAACTGCTCTTCGTGTAAAGTTCCAATAAAAATAGTCTGAGATGAAATAATGCATCTTACAATACATATTCATGAAGACATCTCCTCGACTTTAATGTTGTGATTCACAGTTTGCACGTGCATGTTCGTGCACGGCGTGCAATTTGGGTGTCAGCTTGTTTGTTGGGAGCACGCTACTTGCACACGTGATTTTAAAATGTGAACAGCGCACAATGACCTTTTAGCTACCAGATGCTCATAAATGCCACTTGGGACTATATTGGCTACTGTCACTGTCCGACTGACACATTACTTACCTTGTGACGTAATAAATATTAATGCGCGCATTCCAGGAAAACTTGCAATGTTTCGGTAATGTTTGTGAGAGAGAGAAAGCGATTTTCAAGCACAGAATTAAAGAATGACATTATATGATAAAGATGTTATCACGGTTGTGTGTAATTAGGGATGGTAAATATCCTGTAATAGGAATAAACAATATTTATTTAGCTCGCCAAGGATCGCTAAATACAATGTTTATTCCTAATGCAGGATATTTACAATCCCCAAACACACTCGCGTGATAACCTCTATGTCTCTTCTGTATTTCCCGACACTGATACCCATGATTATACAAAGAGCCTGACCTGTCCCTTCCTCCTCTTGAATTATGTCGTCGTACACTCTCTTATCAATAAGATTATCAGAAAACTCTCCTCAGTAATTCAGTTCATTGCGGCCTTAAATTATATCCATTCATCCACACTGTGTGATGCAAATGCATGAATATTTAGCTCTTCCTTCGAAATCACAACGTTTATGCAAGGGGACAACATTTCCTGTCTGATCAGGAGGAAATCACACGCACAACCGATAACATTCTTTTAAAGCTGTCGCCACGCCTGAGGAAAAGAGACTTAATGTTGAATTAATGCTGTCAGTTTTATATTGGTGTATTTTAATTTGTGTATCCATAATGCCTCTCATATTCATACATCAGTAAATGAATAACTATGTGTTCAATATTTCATTTATTACATGTATTTCACATGTCTCTCCAGGACCTGTCGCGGAGTTCACGTTAATGCAGTTTCGGAGAAAGGGCAAACAAAACACACTTCCCCCTGTGTAATGCTGCGCCACCCGTACTTAACGATCTCTGGACAAGGTACCAGAAACTATATTACCCTTGTCGTCGTGCGCGTAACTCACATCGCTGACCTCAGAAGCTTGGAGACAATAAAATGTTTGGTGCGTGGTTTAACGCTGCTTCAGGGATATTCCAGGCACATTAGAGCTGGGGACACCCCAAAAAGAGCATCGCACATAGATATGTACCATGTGGAGATTTGAGCCTGGTACCATTCTGACGGCCAAACGATTTAACCACGTGACTATAACCATCGCCCCAAAGATATTTAGTAACGATTGTCTTACGAAATATGAGTGTTCGTCATAGAATAGTTAAAGTTAAAGCTAAATCAACGTGTCGACTGTATAGTGGGTCAATGGGAAACGTGCCCTTTGAATGTGCACACAATGATTTTTTAGCTATCTTGTGCTTATAAAAACACTTTGTTCGACCGCAAATAACGCTTGCCACTGAAACTTAACGTCTATATGCGCCGGGGAAAGTTTCAAACTGGAAAATTGATAGACATTTTAACGTTCATCGAAACACAATTTCTTCTCTTTTAAACACTCCTGACTTGCCAGTGGCCAGTCGTCCACCTTTGGCGTCACGTCAACAAGACAACCATATTCGCTTTGTGCATCTACGGAAGAGATATCAAAATGCCACATGAACAGCTTGGACAATTCTTGGGTTGAAACCAATTTGTGGCATAAACGGACGCAAACGGTTAAGGGACAACATCTATCTTCGACGTCCAGCGATACGCCAATTTTGCTCTTTCGTCACCGTGAGGCACGCCTAGATTGCTGCAGACAGCGTCTAAGGTTCAGAAGACAAGCCTGGGACAGTATACTGTTCACAAAAGAGCTTTCATTTTGAGAGTTCTGACGGTTGTGGAATGGAATGTTTTCCAGGACATCGATATAGCGACGCTTGCGCTTCTCAACGTCGTTACTTTGGGTTTGGGAGTGTAATGGTAATGGGTGGCACTACAACATGGGAGATAGTTAATGGCAATTTGAATGGCGTACGCTACCGGGACGAGTAGGTCATGTTCTCCCCTTTGTGCAAATGCATGGACCTAACGTCACGTTGCAGTAGGATAATGACCGCCCACACACTATACCTGATGTAACAGACGTTTTGAGGCAGCATAACATTGCTGTACTGCCATGGTCGGCTGCTTTCCCAGAACTTTACCCCTCAGAAAATGTCTGGAATGTTATGGTCCATTCGTTGGTGGACATTTCGAACAACATTCCCCAGGCTGTTTTCAAACATCTGGTCGCCGCTACCTCGTCTGTAAAAACGCAGCTGATGGTCTCACCCGATATTGACATTATTAATTCTTTCACCACTCCTCTTTTAGGGCGTGACGCTTCGTCTCTTGTTTCCTGGTATTGGAGTTGTTAATGAATATGTGATAATAAAACAGTGATCAGACAAATGACCAAATATTATGTTGTTATTTTCAATAACATAATATTGACACCACTGTATTTGAAACAAAGCGACGTTAAATCCCATTTCACCTCAATGAGTGACGCTAGAAATTGCATTTAACAGTATTAGCTTACTGTCTAAGAAAGTAAATAATGACAATTATGTATGCTTAAACAAAAATTAAAGCTCATTTTGAAACTATAAAGCGCCAATGCACGATAGAGGACAATATTCAAATGTTATGCCCGGCAAGTATGGTTATTCTACATAATGTATTTCGACGGAAACCACAAATCCAAGCAGCTGCAGCAAAATGTTTAAAGTACGCTGACGGACAACAGACAATTCGCGGTGGCTCATATGAACTATACACAGGCTACACATTGAAAGGGGGCAAATCACATGTAACGACCAGGAAACGAATGAGATAAACATTGATTCGCTATCACGTCTAGCCCTGCTAATTTAACTGGGTGCGTGATAAAGCTGTTTTAGCAAAGATTTCTTGTATGACAACAGGGGTGACTCGGCTTTCAAATAATCAACTTTCCCTTTTTTTGTCAAGCAATATTCCAGCAGCTCCAGGTCTTGGTGTCTACATTTCTCAACTTGTGAGGTACACCGGAGCATGCTCTGTCTATGAAGGTGTCTTACAACGCTTGCTTACACGTTGTATAAACAGGGTTACAACATTCAAGGCATCAGTAAAGCTTTCAAAAAGTATGATGGTAGACATGTGAAGGACGTTTCAGAGTTGGACGCATTAGTGACAAAATAATGTCTGATTAAAATTCACTAGTTTGACTTAAACCATATATTCCTGTGTGTTTTTTTAAGTGAACAACTGTCTTGCCTTTGCATGTTTTTTTGTGACGGTAGCCACGGGTGGGGCAGGATATGCTCAACACTTGGCATCATTACCGTTTGATTGTGATTCATAAACACATGCTTATCATGTAGTGTGAATAGTTCAATGAAAATAACTTTTGGTTTTCTTGCGTCACACAAATATTTACATGATGACAAGTTGTACCGTAAACGTGTCAACGTTAAATACACAATAGGCTAAAACACGATAAACACTTACACAACTCGTTTGTACATGTACATGTTTAGGATTTTAAGCAGATACAGATGTAACACAAACATCGTGCATATCATTCAAGATTAGCAATTCCATGATATTATTAATTATCAGATAATTGATTGCGTTATCGATGCGATAACCCAATAAGCTTGCTATGACAATCTGATAAATATGCAAATAAGGTTACCTAGCGAGAACTTCTTTTCGTAGATGTTCTCCAATGAGATAAGGAAGATGTCCTCCACTGCGATAAGGAAGATGTCCTCCACTGCGATAAGGACCACTCACCCACCAACCCACTCACACTCTTACACGCGCACACACGCACGTGCATGCATGTCGCGAGATATGTGCAATTAAACCCAATTTATCCGTGACGTAGGCTAGTTTCCTTTATCGTTTATAGCCTACACCGAAATTTCATGAATATTTATTAATTCCTTCATTTTAAAATTTGTTTGATATACAAAATACATAGAGCTTATTAGCCGAAAATTAATACATATAGTGATTAGCAAATTATAAATTAGCAAATTAATACATATACTGAGCAACAAAAGTTCCTGTGACATTGTGTAAGATTTAATGCAAAGTTATGCTTTTTACCAAAGCAGAAAACAATTTCGGTTTGCAACAGATAAAAGACTCCTGTAAGTGTTCCAATGGTTTAATTTGCCATACTGACTTCAGAAAATGCGTGATTTCATTAAAAACAACCATGAACATGCCAAAATGTCAATTTACAAATCAATAGCGTGTGTGTCCACTTCTGGTTGCGATGCAAGCAACACATCTTCGTCTCATGGAATGGACCAGGCGTCGCACAAAGTCCTGTGGGATATCTGTCCATATCTGCTGGAGCATGTTTCGAAGTTCCTGGAGTGTTTGTGGAACACGTGGTTGACGTCGAAGGCGCCCATCCATCTCAT